ATTGTGTAAGTATCATAACATTTTGATAATTAATAATTTTTAACAAGTCTTTTGTATGTATGATCTAATTCTGTCTGTATTTGTTATTGTAAGTAATAAAGAAAAAATTAACTCTTAAATTACTGCAACTCAAATATTTTACTTTACATTTAATTACTATCTCAAAATAAATCAATTTTTGGGACTTCAGATTATATAGTCTCTTAATTAGTAAACTTTAAATTCAGTGATACTACATATTTAACTACTATTACGCAATTGTGCAATATTTGAAAGAACAGAATGTTCAAAAAAGCTCACCAAGTATATTAGGATTAGGTTGACAAGTGACCGAGGAACGCGCGTCGTCCCTGCACGTCACATTAGTAGTACAGCTTAGAATGCTTATTCGTTAATTTCTCTGCTCTCCTGCAAAAACTACTTGTTAGACGCAATTTTGCAAAAGAAAACAATTGTTTGTTTTAGCGTAAAATATGACGTCTTGTATTTCGCGGGCGCGAATTTGAAAACACCCTGTATATATAATATAAATGTATATATTATTTTTTGTAATTTTTATATTTTAAGAAATTAAGTATCTATATTGTAAAGAATTATATGCATATGTATCTATACATATGCATATACAGGGTGTCATTAACCGATTAAATCACGTCTATTCTACCTGCTCTTGATTTAATCTGTTAATGACACCCTATATATATGTACATACATATATATGTATACGATTAATTTAAAAACTGTTGTAGAGCCTCGACATTTTTATATTAAAATTCTCAACATAAAATTATCTCAAAAATACGTCTTTAAAGAAATGCAGTAAGACATTCCTGTATATAAATATATATTTTAATACTAAAAAGCATAAAAAGCCAACATTCGATGTTTTTGCGAAATTATTATAATCTTTCTGAATTAGATAAAATTAATTATAAACATTCCAACACCTTTACCGTGTCATCTTCAGTGTGACATTTAAATATAAATATGTAAACTTGACGATAATATATTGTAAACATTTTACACACACACATTTCTCCTAATTTTGTCAAATTTATTTGTCGCTGCTAGATAGCATTATTTTAGTATTAAAATCAATGTTCTATTATATTCTGCTTTCATTAAATACTTACGCATTTATTGTTAGACACGTCATCATTCAAATATTAATATAGTTAATTTAATCGTGTGGAAATGATCATAGTCATTCAGCATGAGAGTCCTAATTTCTATACTTATATACATATATATATATATATATATATA